TGTGAGTCAAGTTTTATTTCATCACATAAACCTGTTAATTTGACCTTTTACTTTGCATAATGTTCGTTTAACGCACTTACGCATAGCATCAGTTGACGTGCTTATCAGGTTTAGCATAAGTTTTTTCCAATAGGGTTAGTGACACACCTGCGTGTCGTGAAGTTAAACAGATGCGTCGCTAAATTTCGATATGGGAAAAAATTTTAAGAGATCAAGTTCAAAAGTTTCGAAAAAAATTAATGTATTTTTAGTGTTATTGTAAATCAAAGTATCAAATCGTGGAAATGGGGGGGGGGTGGGAAAGGGGGGTGTGTGTTTTGGGAGGGGTTGGGTAACAGTTAAATAACTGCCCTAATGGCAGGATTGAGCTGCCCTAATGACAGGATTGAGCTGCCGTAATGGCATAATTGAGCTGCCCTAATGTGATGATTCCTGGCGGAGCACTGGATCTCATATGCATACGAATATAATAAAATGTTTCGTGACTTTAGTCCTGGCTGGATATAAATGTTTATAATATGATAATTAACTACCAAATACATTAATGTAATGTCTTTAAACATCATATACATTAATTTGATATTTAAAAATCGTTTAAATTATATGATATATATGATAATTACATGATATTTAACTTCCACATACATCAATATAGCATGCTATTTAACTGCTGAATACATTAAAATAGAATGATATTTAACAGCCATATAAATTAATATAGCTTTATATTCCACCTTCAGGTATAATTATCATTAACGTATCCTGCTGTACTAGTCATCAATTTCCATTATGCCTCACTTTTACTCCCATTGTACATGAGAAATATTGTGTAAAACACCATAAATTATAAATAACCTGATATATTATCAAGTTTCAATATTTTCTTTTCCATTTGAATTTTACCGTCATTTCATCTCCGAATAATGTCTTTCTTTATTTTGAGACGTATCTTGTATTGCCTTAGGCAAAATGAACATACTCATATATTATTAAAAAGAAAATGCAAAATCTATTATTCACAAAAGTAATACCATAGGATTTAAATATTTTTTCATCCTCGTAAAAATGTACATATCCCGTTTCCTACCTCTGATATGTATGTACCTATGAAGGTTAATTATTTATCAAAATCATTCCTTTATTTTGAGACGAATCTTGTGCTGCCTGTGGCAAAGTTACCAACCACTCCCCCACCCAGATTTAAATAAATTTATAAAATGCTCCACCTGATTGTAGTCCATTCCATACCCGAATAACATCTTTAGCACTTCATATGGTTCGTTCTTATTTGTATGAGGTATAAGTGTATTAGTGAATGCTATTTAGCTATGGAGTTGCGCTGCACTCATTTACTTAAATCGCATTTTCTTATTAGAATTATATTTAAAGTTTAGTTTTTATTACGTTATAAATTTAATAGAAGTATATTTTTGGAATCAAAGCAGGCAAAACATTTTAAATGTAAAAATATACAAAGCAAAAATGTATGTTTCTGTTTTAATAACAATTTAAAAAGGAATCAATTGTATTTATTAATTTTACTTTTAAGAAGGGAAAATTCAAATTCAGGTTTGTCACTCGCGGTTATTAAAATTTAAGGAATCCTAAGAGTTTTGGCGAAGTAGGCTTCTCGCACTATGACGTCATTTGCCTGATTATTTAGAAAAAATTAATTGTATTTTTAATTTTCAATATTAACAACGCACTAAAAGACGCACTAAAAACGATTGATGCTTGGGTTTTCCCGATAAATGTGATTGAGGTGTAATTCTTTGATCATGATTTTTTTATTTTTTTATATAACTTTCAAACACATATAAAATGCTTAAAATANGAATAATGCCTTCATCGCTAAATAATGTCGTCATCTCTGATTAATGACGTCATTTCAGCTCTGAAGAATGCTTTTATCTTTGAATACTCTTTGGTAATATGTTATCTTCCCTGTTTATTTATGTTATATTTTGTATCAAATATTCTTTATTCTTACGAACAAGAAATAGCTCAACATTTAACTAAAGAATTTCTTACAACCGAGAAATACCTCAAAATTTAACTCTAGAATTTCTTACAATCAAGAAATAGCTCAACATTTAATTTAAAAATTTCTCTGAATCTCCAGGCATAGCTCAACATGAATTACTCACCTCAAAGTCTTGCGCAATTTGACAACCTCTTGTACCCTACGGTTCTCATAAGCCTGTTATCTGCATTAGTTACAGCTTATTTCCTTTCTGGCCGTTCTCGCCAACAGCCACCAGGCCCCTGGGTGTTATTGCCAGGTATGTTTATATAGCTTTAGACTGCATTATATACCAGAGGAGCTCAGGCTTCGAATTTAGAAACATGTTGAACTCTAGCTAGAGTACATCAAAGATTATGACTCAGCGCTATTTAATTGTTAAAATAAAGCTATAATCAAAGTCCTTACCAAAAATGAGTCATGTTTTCGGGAACGAAATGAGGTGGATGGGGGTTCGCGCAAGCCTGGTGAAGACGTTTGTTTGTTTGCCAGTGTTTGTCCACCAAACTACATTCTCCTGACAAATTCCCACCCTCCTGAAACCAAACCCTGGACCGAACGTCGCTACGAGTGCAGGCAGTCCTGCCTGGCATACCCGCCCTCATTCCCAATCACAGTTACCAGTCATCATGCATCTGTGGTACACAGAAGCGTTGCATGTGAACAATATTGGAAATGGTTCCATGGTCAATGCCAAAACATCGACAACGTCTATTACAACCTGGATGGTTTAAATTCTGGCATGCCGTGGTACTGTGCTGTTTGCGGAAGCCCGACTATGCAGATTGTGTTTTACCGACATAGTGCAAGAATAAAATCTACCTTCCAAGATTCATCGCTAAATCCCTCCACACCAACGGACCTTCAAAGTTTTAAGCCATCACACTACGCTACTCCTATGCGCTGCAATCAGCAAGACAAATGGAAACACTGACCAATGCACACACTGAATGTGAACTTTCAGTCTGCAAGCGGGAAAAGAGCAGAGATAGCCAATCTGATCAATGGCTTAAAACCTGACGTCTTGGGCACAGAAACGTGTCAACGCAGAAATTATACCGGATAATCATAAATTATTACGGTGAGATAGAAGAGACAAAAGGAGTAGAAGTACTTGTCATCCACGACAGCCTGGACTGTCACGCTGTTCCAGAACTAGATGTTGATGACTGCAAGCAGGCCCAACACAGCAGATGAACTAAGCCTCGGGTGGTTTGAGGTGTCACATCAGAGTGCAAAACCGTCAAAGAATCATTTATTCCTGTGGGGGGGGGGTAACTTTTCTGTTGGATCTGGCAGATTTTTACCCTGAAGCCCAAGTCCTCTATGGTGCTACACTGATATGATGGACATGATTAACATCTGTTTAAAGTACACACACGAGAGGAAACACACTTCACCTACTCCTCCCCAACTGTCCACATCTTATCCCAAGAGCTGAGGTCATCCCCTGGATATCAGACCACTGCATACCATAGTGTTAATTTCAGGTGAGTGCACTAAAAAAAGAAGCAGGCTGTGCGAGACATCCCTTTTGATGCCAGGGCAGGCTGGAATAGCTCTAACATGCATGATATTTAGGGTAGAGCGAAAACAGAACAGCTGTGGATAAAAATCAAGACAACAATTACTGATGCAGTGTAGAAATACAAACCACACAAAACAACCAAACCTAAGACAAATCAGCAATGGGACACGGCTGAAATCCGTTGGCTCATACAAAGGAGAAATCGCCAGTACAGGCGAATGAAGATGAATAGCTCTGTCAAACCTAAAGCCGAGGAACTGCACAGATCTTGCTGGAACTACCTGAACCACATCTTCTCAGAGAAGGACAATCCGGCCAAGAGTGTCAAGAGCAACCGCTTCTGGAGCTACGTGAAGGACCAAAAGTCATCAAACAATGGGTCCCCCCCCTGAGATTGGACGGCCATTTGGACGTCTAAACCAAAAGCACAGGCAGACATACTAATTCAACAGTTCCACTCAGTCTTTGGTGATGGTAGAGAGTACTCAGAGGTTGAGTTTCTTCTGAAGACAAATATGATGCGCTGAGCCTTACCCTGTCATGCAATATATCAAGATTTAAGAGCAGGGTGTGCTGGCACTCCTTAAAACCATTAACCCCTACAAGGCATGTGGTCCTAGCAACATCAATCTACGAGGGCTTACAGAATTGGACAATGCCATCGCTCCCTCGCTGACAATCCTCTTCTAATCGTTGCTTTGCACAGGGATTGTTTCCGCCGACTTGAGAATAGCGCATCTGCAAATAAGGGAGCATTACGACCCTGCAAACTACCGCCAAGGGAAAACCTCCAATGCTGGAAAAAACTGTGGTGATCATCATTGGAGATGACTATCCAGGCTCTCAATGATGTACACGAAAGCCCACTGCTCCATTATTAAACAGAAACGTGTCCCTCTCCTCCACCCCTCCCATTAAACAGTGACGAGGCTATAACAGGCATTCTGGCTCATAAAATTAAGAAAGTGCAGGCACTGCTCATTCCTGCCAAAGACAATCAAGGACTGGAGCAAGCTTCCAAAACGAACAGTTGAGGCGACTACACTTGACACATTTGCGTCTATTGCATCATGTCCTCCAACCCCAGTTCCTTGTACTATCGCTGAGTAGCCCTTGCAACCAGAGAAGTAACTTCTTCAAAAATCATGCAAAGTTACTTCGCGAACCAATCTACAAACATGGGGTCCAGAATGATCACTACATTGATTGTAGGCTCTCAAAATGTAGAAAAATAAGAACGTTACTTTTTATGTTTTATATAAATCATGTCTGAAGTAGAAGCTATTGTTGACATATCGTTCTTTGATTCGTATATTATTTGCTATGTCTTGACACACTCCCCAAAATTCCTTCTCCTCTTTTATCAATTAATCCCGTATTGAAATAGACAGACAAAAAAGCGTCCACATTTTGCTTGTAGGTATTGGACATCTTTTGAGATTCTCCAAGGATCCCGTGGAGCAGCTGAGAACACTAAGGAAACAATATGGTGACGTGTTCAAAGTCTACATGGGGACTATGCCAGTTGTCTTCATCAATGGATTTGACGTGATCAATGGCGTCCTTCATGACAGAGGGGCCGAGTTCGCCCACCGCCCACCTTCATTCATAGCTGAGAAGTTGGCCAGCAATAAAGGTAACGTTATTGCCAAGTGGCTGATTGGTATATGCAATTGAACTATAAATATTACAGATGGAATAGCTATATGACATAATCTCGGAACAGTCAGGGTCTCTTCATGTGTTTGATGGTTTGGCATTTTACTAGTACCAAGTCAATGAACTCATTAACTCTTTAGTAAATGATGGCTCACTTCAGGGTCTTCAGGAAGTTGTGTGTTTCTTGTTCGTCTTTTACATGCGACGATGACCAATTAGATATTGAAGAGTGAGTGTAAAGGTGGTGAAGGAGATGAAAAATTCTATGTTCGATGGTCAGTGTGCAAAGTGCTTATGAGTCTATTTTGGCTTGGGAGCTTTCCCGCATGTAGGATACGTGTTATTGGTGTCCAATGTGTATTGTAGGCAATGCTCATTTTTTCTCCTCTGCGCTTTCTATGTGAGTGAGTGGTATGTTGCCTCTCCGAAGAGTGTGTTCCAAAAGTTTGTCTGCCTGTTGTAATGTAGATGTAAAATAAGGATGCTGGCACCTGAGTTTAAGACAAGTTCTACAGGATCTCTGAGTTATTTTTAGACACATGAAATAATTTAAAAAATTTGTGGAAAAAAAATTTTGGAAAACTATAAAGATCATGGTGCATTCTTCACACACACAAACACATACACACACAAACTCACACAAAGAATCCATGAAATTAGAATTTAAATGATAATTTACTTGCATCTAACTAAAAATTTCCGAAGGTTTTCTTAACACAAGCGGCAACGTTTGGACTGAACAGAAACACAACATCGCTAGGACATTGCGGAGCCTGTCTGCCTCTGGTGGACTCTTGGAACAGTACATCAAGTCAACCGTAAACAATTTGACAGATCATTTACAGTCTGTGATACAGAAGGGAGAGGGTGGACAAGTGGACTTGACCCCCGTGGTGAGGCGGTCAGTTTGCTCTATCGCCTTCTCCATGGCTTACGGTCGTCAGCTTGAACTGGAGTCTCAGTTGCTGGTCTCGTACACAGACACCCTGGACCAGTTTCTCAGGTAATCAGGATAGAAACTTCTTCGACGTTGTAAGTTTTGACACGTCCATGTCCTTGTAAGGTTTGACCCTCACATGATTTGGTAAGGTTCCACACGCCAGTGTTTTAAGGTTTGACAATGCAATGATGTTGTAAGGTTTGACACACTCATGATTTGTTAGATTTCATACTCCATGATGCTGTTTAGTTGATACGTCCATGATGTTGTAAGATTTGAAACGCCCATCATATTGCAAGATTTGGCAATCACATGATGCTGTTGGGTTTCTGTAAAATGAATGTGTTAATTAAAGTTCTATTTATTTAATTTTGTTTTTCCATTTTATTATTTCGGAAATTTTATGATTGAAAATTATTTCTTTTTTTATTTATTGTTCAACAAAAGAATGAAAGTGACCAAAATAGCCTGAGTATGCAACTTTTTGACCATGGTGTAAAACTAGTGGACATGAGAAAGACACCCTTGTTTTAAGACTAGCTCTATAACAAATATTTAGGAAAAACAAAAATACCCTTTAAAAATACCTTTATACCTCCACTAGAAGGCAGGTTTCAAAGTATGAAAGCGTTATAAGAGCAATAGATTCATTACGGAATCAGTTTAATATGTCTGATAAATATTTCATTATTCTGACCTGATTAATGAAATGTAAAGGTAAAGCCATAACTGAGACTTGGTCAAGTTAAATTGATTAATTTTTACATAGAATCACGTTATACATATATACTTTTTTAAAAACACAAACAAATTTATGTTTGTACCTCACAGGTGTCTGAACTTTTCTGTCACGACATCTTATTTATGTTTGTACCAAAAAGGTGTCTGAACTTGGGTGTCATGAAAACCAATTCATGTTTTTACCTTACAGGTGTCTGAAACTGGCTGTCATGACAACATTCATCCCTTACATACATCTCCTTCCCAATGACCCAGTAGGGTACAGGAAATGTAAACAGTTGGCAGTTGTGATTGAGATGGGCTTTGTAAGGCCAGAGCTGGAGAGACTCGCCCAGGTATATTACACCTAACATCTTAAAGTAGAATCACAAAGATTCTAAACTGTACAGTGCCATCACATCGATAGAATTTTTCTTCAGCATCCAACACAGTGGACTGAGGTTTGAACACAACCACAGTGGATTGATGTTTCAAGTCAACCATGGGAGATGGATGCTTGAACACAACCACAGTTGATTGATGTTCCAATTCAACCACAGTGAAATGATGTTTGAACACAACCACAGCGGATTGATGTTCCAAGTCAACCAAAGGGGATTAATGCTGGAACACAACCACGGTGGATCGATTTTTGAACGCAACCACAGTGGATCGATTTTTGAACACGATGCCCCGATCAGGCGAAAAAAAACCACAGCAATTTAATCAATTTAAAATTGAAAACGTAATTCATTAAGAATATTAATTTAGTTAAATTGTGTATAAAGAAATTTCGTTTTTGACATTGAACTCCAGTACTTTTTCTTCTTGGTAAATAAACTAAAGTCAGTCTGTTCTTCATTTGCTCGTCAATAGTTAACAACTACATCTAAAGTTGCGTTCCTATTCAAAACTCGTCTGGTGAAGAAAATAGAGTTCACTTCTTCATTGTGGTTTTAAAAGTTTATCAAATTTGCTTAAACTATTTTAAAATATAAGGCTAATATAGAATGACGTAGTTAAATCATTTATTGTCAGATCCACCGAGAAGCTCAAATGACATGTGAGAAGAAGACGGGAGAAACTATTACGACGGCTCCCACTTTATGTTATGCTGGGGCTTACATGGACGAGATGAACGAAAAAATCCGGAATAACATCCCCACGATGATGTCTGGTAAACCATAACATTTGAAGTGGATGGGATGTCTATTAAACAATAACATTTGATGTGGTGTGATGTCTTGTAAACCATAACATTTGAAGTGGGTGTGATGTCTTGTAAACCATAACATTTGAAGTGGGTGGGATTTCTGGTAAACCATAACATTTGAAGTTGGTGGGATGTCTTGTAAACCATAACATTTGAAGTGGGTGGGATGTCTAGTAAACCATAACATTCGAAGTTTGTGGGATATCTATTAAACAATAACATTTGAAGTGTGTGGGATTTCTGGTAAACAATAACATTCGAAGTTTGTGAGATGTCTAGTAAACAATAACATTTGAAGTGGTTTTGATGTCTGGTAAACAATAACAATTCAAAGGATGGGATTCGCCTAAGTACAGTAGCTCTCTGTATTGTGACGGCACCAGTTTGAAATTATTTCCCTGAAACTCAAATTTCAAAAGGCCAAACATTTAAAAACAATTTAAAGAGAGTTTAGAAAAGTATGCAATGGGAATCTAATATCTATACCAGAGTATCCAGTTTATAAATCTACTTTGTGTTAAATTGAAAGTGTCCAAATTTCAGATTTGTGGGGATCTCCTTTGTCTACTTCTCAACCATTGCACTCACAAAAATGACTTCATTATTGCCTTTACACAGAAGCCAAGATATAAATCTCTGCTTGAACAAGATGTGTCCTAAGGCGTATAAGAATATAATAAAACAATGAAAATTAATCAAACATTTGAATTAGAGATCACCTTTATAACATTCATCAAATATTATGTGAGCTAGAGATCATCTTTGCAACATTAATCAAACATCATAGTACATGAGTTGCGGAGCATCTGTTTGACATGACTCAAACACAATACTATATGAATTAGAGAACATCTTTATGTTACGAAGACCACATGTTCTGGTTAATTTTTGAGCTTACGCTCTTAAAGCCCCGGCTCGTACATTGTCAACGCCATCTGCTGGACTGTACCATACAACATTGTGCTAACGTAGGACTCTACCACCGCCTTCCCCCGAAACTAATGATGTTGGGCATTCAGTCAACAGATGGGTTAGAGTTTCTTTATCTTACGAAAGGTCATGAAGTTATGACAAATTTACATTCCCCACATTAGATAAATGAAGAATTGGGAAATAAAATATGACGTTGATGATCATTAAGCAGATACCGAATTCTGAGGACAGCGTATCAGATGTTGTAACAGGATACATAGAACGTTTCGATAAGAAATGATTCCCCACGCACTGTCACTTGGCATAATCGATTAGTAGGTGTGTACGTCTAGTGCAATGTCGGCAACATGAAGATGGTGTGTCCGCCTAGTGCCATGTCTGTGACATGAAGATGGTGTGTCCGTCTAGTGCCATGTCGGCAACATGAAGATGGTGTGTCCGCCTAGTGCGATACCGGCAACATGAAGATGGTGTGTCAGTCTAGTGCCATGTCGGCAACATGAAGATGGTGTGTCCGCCTAGTGCCGTGTCTGCAACATGAAGTTGGTGTGTCCGCCTTGTGCCATGTTGGCAACATTAATATGGTGTGTCCGCCTAGTGCCGTGTCGGTAACATGAAGTTGGTGTGTCCGCCTGGTGCCAAGTCGGCAACATGAAGATGGTGTGTCCGCCTAGTGCCATGTTGGCAACATTAAGATGGTGTGTCCGCCTAGTGCCATGTTTGCAACATGAAGTTTGTGTGTCCGCCCAGTGCCATGTCGGCAACAAGAAAATGGTTTGTCCGCCTAGTGCCATGTTGGCAACATGAAGTTGGTGTGTCCGCCTGGTGCCATGTCGGCAACATGAAAATGGTGTGTCCGCCTGGTGCCAAGTCGGCAACATGAAGATGGTGTGTCCGCCTAGTGCCAAGTCGGCAACATAAAGATGGTGTGTTCGCCTAGTGCCGTGTCGGCAACATGAAGATGGTGTGTCCGCCTAGTGCCGTGTCGGCAACATTTTTTGGAAACAATCATTCATTTTTCTTTTTCACTTTTCAAAGCTGAAATCATGTGGCGAGTACTAAATAATTATATAGATTAGTTATCTATTTTTTAATGTAGCTATGAAAAGAGTCGCACTTTTAATTCATTGAGCCATATGTGGCATTAGATGCTCTAGATCCAGATCGTTGGTCTAGTTTATAAAGCATTGTTTTTCTTTTTTTTTTTTTTAAGTTGTACGTTCCATGCATCCTGGTTCATTCAACATATTTATTCTACAACGCACAATTTAGAGAATTTTTTTTCATTAGATAATATCTGTATCTATAGAGGAACATCTTCCCAAAACTGTCTCAGACGTCATTGTGGGCAGTTTCGATTCTATAACGACGACGATACAATGGTTTTTAATCTACATGACCCACCATCCGGACGTTCAGAAGAAATGCAGACAGGAGATTCACAAGTTTATGGGTGAAGATGGCTGTGATGTTTCAGATATAGACCGTTCCAAACTGGCATACACACAGGCAACGATCATGGAAGTACAGAGGGTGGCAAACATAGGTGAGGATGTCACATTTGATTATTG